ATTACTGGTGCTTTTATTTACTTTATATTCACTTATATGTATCTTCTGAAGGCATTCTGAAGCTGAATTTTGTCACAAGCTCTTAATGATATTTAAGCTGTTAAATTTCCATCCAAAAAATCAAAACTGGTAAATAAAAGACAGTGAGGACACAGGAAGAAATGACAAAAAAAAAAAAAAACTCTTACATTAAAACTATTCCCAACAAAACATCAAAACATGGTTTGTTTGAAAGAATAGTGAAGAGACATTTACATTTTTTTTTAAGTTTTTGATTTTTTGACATTAGTGGAAGCTAGATTTATAGGAAGGCAGTTTGCTGAACGATTATATTTATAGGCACTAGTTTCAAACATAACTGTAATGCCTCAAATACCTACAAATTCCAAATGCAAAGAAATTCAACAATCATATGCTAAAATACATAGCAGCCAATGTAACAGTAAAGCTGCATTTTATTTGAATGTTACAATAATTTCCTCCTTCTTGGTACTGTATGCATACAGAGCATTCAAGTGTAATTTGTTTCTAAGTGCACTCTGAAAAAAAAATCTAACTAAACAGGTCTGAAAATATGAATAATGAACCCTATCTGCAAGGCTAGAGGATGGGAAATGAACATGGAGTCCACTGGCAGGGTGAACAACAGGTACTGTGTCTTTGGGATTGTCTTGGTAACCAGTTTCCATTCTGAGCTGGCGAGCAGTTCAACATCAAGACTGTTCATGATGATCTTGGCCACTCATTTCACCTCCAAATGGGATGCTGAAACATCCTGGTTTGCTCTCGTTTCTTTCTGAGGCAAAGCGGTCAGGATCAAATGGTAAATGGGATCAGTCTCATGCATTTCACTGATGCTGTATAAAACACTCCATCCCTTTGGGATCAGGAAACGCTGCAAAAAGCAAACAAATAGTGTAAAAAAGGTACAGCGTGTATTTATTTATGCAGTAATGCAAATTTGAATTTCTGACATTGATGGAATTTGATCCTGAACTCCATTTAGATAGTTCTGTCTTCACCAGATCTCAGATATGGAACATCAGTTCTTAAAAGTTCCATTTTTTTCACTATAAAGAACCTTGTGTGGAATGCAAAGATTCCTTGGATGTTAAAGGTTCTTCATGGAACCATAGATACCAATAAAAATATATTTTTAAGAGTGAATGTAGCTCTCCAAATCTGTGTGACTGAATGCCTTTGCCAAAATCAGTTTGATCAGGATAGGTTCAGAATAAGAATCTTGAATCTAAGAATCGTGTTATGATTAAGAGATTGTTTTTAATTGGTGTAATGTCGCACTTTGCGTTTCTTCTTGTGAAGGTCCCCCAAGGAGTTGGTCCTTTATTTCATCTCAAGCTCTTCACTGACACAGTTTTCTGACATATCCTTCAAAAAAAAACTTTAAGTGAGAAAAAAACTTGCAAAATAGATAGATAACTTTTTTTTTTGTATTTTTACTTATTTCTTTCATTTATTTTATATTTAAGCAATCTTTAATGTTCTTTAATGTATAATGCTGTAATCAATTGTCTGCTTCAATCTGTTGTACCTTTCTTATTTAGGGCATTGAGGTGCCAAACAGGAAATAATTATATAAAAATCTGAATATATAGATGTAATTTGTGAATATATAGTTATAAGTCTGAATATATTATGTCTGAATATATAGAAGTAAATCTGAATATATACTTATAAGTCTGAATATATAGTTATGTCTGAATATATAGAAGTAAATCTGAATATATACTTATAAGTCTGAATATATAGTTATGTCTGAATATATAGAAGTAAATCTGAATATATACTTATAAGTCTGAATATATAGTTATGTCTGAATATATAGAAGTAAATCTGAATATATACTTATAAGTCTGAATATATAGTTATGTCTGAATATATAGAAGTAAATCTGAATATATACTTATAAGTCTGAATATATAGTTATGTCTGAATATATAGAAGTAAATCTGAATATATACTTATAAGTCTGAATATATAGTTATGTCTGAATATATAGAAGTAAATCTGAATATATACTTATAAGTCTGAATATATAGTTATGTCTGAATATATAGAAGTAAATCTGAATATATACTTATAAGTCTGAATATATAGTTATGTCTGAATATATAGAAGTAAATCTGAATATATACTTATAAGTCTGAATATATAGTTATGTCTGAATATATAGAAGTAAATCTGAATATATACTTATAAGTCTGAATATATAGTTATGTCTGAATATATAGAAGTAAATCTGAATATATACTTATAAGTCTGAATATATAGTTATGTCTGAATATATAGAAGTAAATCTGAATATATACTTATAAGTCTGAATATATAGTTATGTCTGAATATATAGAAGTAAATCTGAATATATAGTTATAACTCTGAATATATAAATGTAAATATTTAATTAAATAACAGATTTACCTCTATTCATTCAGACTTTAATTATATATTCAGACTTATAACTATATATTCAGATTTGCTTCTATATATTCAGACTTATAACTATATATTCAGAATTATAACTATATATTCAGATTTACATTTATATATTCAGACTTATAACTACATATTCAGATTTGCTTCTATATATTTACAATTGACATTTAATTATTCAGACTTATAAGTATATATTTAGATTTACTTCTATATATTCAGACATAATATATTCAGGCTTATATTCACAATTTACATTTATATATTCAGGCTTATAACAACATATTCAGATTTTTATATAATTATTTCCTGTTTGGCAACTCATATATATATATAGTGACTTAAAGGGTACTCGATGAGTAGCAAAAGCAAAGGATGAAGGAAGGGAAAAAAATGTCACTTTTAACATTTCATATCACAAAAATAATAAAAAAAGTGTTTCATATCACAAAAAGAAATCTGGTTTTCATTTAAAAAATCTTTATCTATAGGACTCAGAAGTGTCCGAAGGCGTTAAAGCATCCTGTGTGATGGACTAATGCAGGGCCCATAGCTGCCGGACCACCTCCATCAAGATTGTCCACATTCAGTGATGACAGACTGGATCTAGCGGATTGTTTGCCAATATATCCTTCTAGAGAACATCCCAACTGGAATACTTGGGAAATGAAGTTTAGAAATATCAGCCATCATCAGTTCAAAAATAAGCATGTCTTTAAATGCAGTAAAACAATTAAATGTACAATTAAAATAATTACATTGAATATTTAACAATTAACATTAATATTTAATATTAAAATAATATAAACTCAACAATAGAATAAGATAATTCACCAGAAAGAAGTTTAACATGGCTGGGTATCTTAATTTAATTTAATTTTAAAAATATGTATATATGAAAAAAAATGCGGGAACTCTTTCTATTTTAATCTGAGGAGTTTATCTGTATATAGAGTAACAATGTTGTAAAGACATTGAAAGCAAAAAAAAAAACCCCAAAAAACAATGGATCAAAATGTATTTTTGTTGTGAAATTTTATTAAAGCACACACATAAAAATGGGTGGACCTTGAAAACAACTGAAGTCACTTGGGTTTGTGTAACTCCAGGTAATGCCAGTTATTGGATATTGTGATTCTGTTTGCCTCATTGAAATTTTAAATATTTGGGTGACACTTAACTTTCATTATTATTAACAAATTCCATAATGCCTAACAGATCATTAGTTAATATACATTCAAACACTTGTAATATCTGAATGCAAAGGAACTACTGATTTGTTAACCATGTCTTTAAGTTATGAGAGATATTTTAAAGTGAAACCAATATTAGTGTTGTTACAACCATAAGACGACAGAAAACTGAAATATGGAAACATCCTCAGATGACAAATGTTTTATGCTTTACATTCCATTTTTTCCCCAATTTTAATAAAATAGTATGGTATATGCAGTGGTACTTTAAATACATAAGCATACAGTTGCTTGTTAAAAGGCAAACTTAAATAATTTTCAGTGCAAAAAATGCCTGCTCAAAATAAATGTTAAGAAACAAAATAAAAGCATGTGGATAAAGATACTAATCTGGAATTTTTCCATGTCTGTAGCTGGACCAATTATTGCTTATTTATTTTCACCTAAAAATGAGATTCTAAAGCATCTGAACCCAAAGCTTTCATTTCACCCTGAGAAAATAAAAAATGTAATATAATTCTGTGGTGCATTTGTTCATCGTTCAGTGAAATGCAGCTGACAATTTTAGACTCTTTTCAATAAAGAAGTGCTGTTTGTGCACACGAGTTGGAACAAAGTCTGCCAACATAAAAAAAAGAAAAAAACGATGCATTCTCATGCAAATGCTAAACATTGGTCTGCCAGTCTATTCATTGGCAGACCAATGGGAAGCATGATTCCATAGCGGTGTTAAATATATTTAAATATATTTACAATAAAAACTTCATCCATGTTACACCAGGGAGAATTTCATACAGGTTGCAATATGACCATCAGCATCACCAGTCACATACACACCGCCGCTCTCTCAAGTGTAGTGTTAGGAGTCATTGCACTTTCACAACGTACAAAACATAATTCTCAACCTTTAAAAATACATTACAAAAAATTACTGCATAAATTCATTTTTTTTCTCTTCATTTTTGTACCATATTTACATTATTAACCTACAGTGGTGAATATTTTGGCAGGAGACATGGAGGATGCAGTCAAAATATACCACAGTACTTTTGAGAGTAGTTACCTTACAGCGAGTTATTGGATTTTGAAAAAAGGGCCAAAGCTAGAAGTATAACCTAGTTTGTAAGTTACATTGTCAAACCCAGCCCAGTGTTTGGAGTTCATGTGGATGCCTCTAGGAATGCTGGGACATTCCATTCACCAGACTTCTCAGCTGCTTCACCACTGTCTCGATCAATTTCTGCTTGTCACGGTCGTTCTTCCTGAACTGGGAGAAGATGATGTTCTTTTTGCTTGTGTCTTTCATTTCTTTTCAATAAAGAAGTGCTGTTTGTGCACACGAGTTGGAACAAAGTCTGCCAACATAAAAAAAAAGAAAAAAACGATGCATTCTCATGCAAATGCTAAACATTGGTCTGCCAGTCTATTCATTGGCAGACCAATGGGAAGCATGATTCCATAGCGGTGTTAAATATATTTAAATATATTTACAATAAAAACTTCATCCATGTTACACCAGGGAGAATTTCATACAGGTTGCAATATGACCATCAGCATCACCAGTCACATACACACCGCCGCTCTCTCAAGTGTAGTGTTAGGAGTCATTGCACTTTCACAACGTACAAAACATAATTCTCAACCTTTAAAAATACATTACAAAAAATTACTGCATAAATTCATTTTTTTTCTCTTCATTTTTGTACCATATTTACATTATTAACCTACAGTGGTGAATATTTTGGCAGGAGACATGGAGGATGCAGTCAAAATATACCACAGTACTTTTGAGAGTAGTTACCTTACAGCGAGTTATTGGATTTTGAAAAAAGGGCCAAAGCTAGAAGTATAACCTAGTTTGTAAGTTACATTGTCAAACCCAGCCCAGTGTTTGGAGTTCATGTGGATGCCTCTAGGAATGCTGGGACATTCCATTCACCAGACTTCTCAGCTGCTTCACCACTGTCTCGATCAATTTCTGCTTGTCACGGTCGTTCTTCCTGAACTGGGAGAAGATGATGTTCTTTTTGCTTGTGTCTTTCATTCTGGAAAAGCAAAATGAGGGGATACTATTACAGTCGAATATATGAAGAAAATATCAGAGTCCAGAAAACATCTATTATTATTATTTTCCACATTTTAGAATAATAGTAATGTCAACTAAAACAAATTTTTTTTTATGAATATTTATGAAATTTCATATTTTGAATCAGATTTTAATTTGAGCTTACATTTTAGTAAAACTTTTCTGTCTTGTAAATATAGTTTCTATTAAGTTTTAGTTATTTTAGTACTTCAACTAAATGAAACACAGAAAAATTTTCCTTGGTAAGTTAATGTTTATTTGAACTGTTTTTATTCATATTTATCTTTTTAGGACCACAAACATATTTTGCAACCCTTTTGGTGATGCTAGTGATACAGAAATAACACGCTTCTCTTTTAAACTCATATGTAAAAATTACAACAATTCCAGTATAAATATATAATTCAGTCATGAAACTCTAGATGGCGCATTCTGACGGGGTGTTAACGTAACTGATGATATTCAGAGAGTTAAATGACTTGGCACAAGCTGATTGGTTCATGCTGCATATGCAGCCAATGAGCTTACTGCCTTGCATTTATATGGCTGGCTAGCATTCACTTGAGATTCCTGCAGCGCGCTTTCAGAGTTCTCTGAAACCCTCCACCTTCCCCAGCTCCACCTGTATAGATCTGCTACGGGGTCATTTTATATGCTATTTGTGCAGCAGCAGTATGTCTTAAATACTCATGGCACCGTATCGCCATATGCATTTGCAGTAGCAAGTTCCTGTACTTGCTTGCAGCAGCAGCAATAATCTACAACTACAGCAATAACCAACAGCAGCAGCAATTCAGCAGCAGCGTAGCAGATCTGTTCCGCCAAGACCAAATACATTAACATTGTCAAATCCATCACCATGCTAAAATCTTCAGAGAGTTGTCATGATATGATATTCAAAGAGTTAAACGACTTGGCACAAGCTGATTGGTTCATGCTGCATATGCAGCCAATGAGCTTACTGCCTTGCATTTATATGGCTGGCTAGCATTCACTTGAGATTCCTGCAGCGCGCTTTCAGAGTTCTCTGAAACCCTCCACCTTCCCCAGCTCCACCTGTATAGATCTGCTACGGGGTCATTTTCTATGCTATTTGTGCAGCAGCAGTATGTCTTAAATACTCATGGCACCGTATCGCCATATGCATTTGCAGTAGCAAGTTCCTGTACTTGCTTGCAGCAGCAGCAATAATCTACAACTACAGCAATAACCAACAGCAGCAGCAATTCAGCAGCAGCGTAGCAGATCTGTTCCGCCAAGACCAAATACATTAACATTGTCATATCCATCACCATGCTAAAATGTTCTGAGAGTTGTCATGATTGAAATGCATATTTTTATGATATATATGCTATATCAGATGATGGTTCAATTCTGCATTTGCATCCTAAACACATTTAAATACATTATCAAAGAGAGATTTTTCAGTGCAGTAAAAATCATGAATTAGTAATGATATAGTGATCCGTGACATATGTATCATGCTATGTAAATTATTCACATTATATTATTATTCAGCCTCTCTGTACAGTATGCATGCTGCAATGGGTTTGGGATGAATAAATGATGATGAAATAAATTATATGATATAGTCTATTCATGCAGCATTTCACATTACTATGGAGAGAGAGAAATCCATGTTGGATCTACGTACCCTCTGTTGACTCTGGCATTGGTAAGTAAGAAAAAAGAAAGAGGACGAAGATTATATATTAGGTTAAAAAAACAAATCAGAGCTCCACTGTTCAAATCACTTCATCATTTGTTCACTTATGTTTGAGATTCTGTTCTGAAACTAGTGAGCCACCAGCAACATCATAACCATCATGGTTCTAAAAGTAACTGTTTAAAGCACTCTAGGAAGCTTCAATGATTTCAGTGGAGTTTGATATTAGCATTTCTTCACTGAGCTGAAGGAAAGAGTAAAAACACTACATACTTTTCCAAAAGTGCTAGTGCAGTGGAGGGGTTCACCCGCAGGTACTTTGAGGTGGGCTGTCCGTAGTCTGCCAGGTACGTGGACCAATCCCACACCATGAACAGATCTAGAAGCTGAATGAATTACAAAAAAAAACACACAGTGTCAAAACCAGAATTTTATAACTTATAACTTGAACCAGAACAAACAGAATAGGTTGTAACACACTGAAAAAGAATACAATTAATGTAATTGCCATTTGTTTTGATTTAGCATACACTTTTATGCAAAGAGTTACAACTGAAGAAAAACGTGAACACCACAATATAATAACTAGGGCTGCCACACTTCTTGAACAAAAGAATTTCCAAGGAATTTATACAATTATACATTTGCAAAGATTCTTAAATATAATTTTACAGAGAATGCATACATAATTAAAATATATGTATATATATATATAAAAATAAAACATATATATATATATATATATACATACATATATATACATATATATATATATATATACATATATATATATATATATATATA